ATAACTTTTTCTAAATCCTGTTCGAGATTCATTGATTAGATCTACCTCATCAGCAAAAGTATTTAAACGGTCACAGAGTATACTAGTAAAACGATTTCCTAAAGAACTAAGTAATGTAATTGGTCTGTAATTTTCAGGATGGCTTCTGTCACCTTTACCCTTATAAATATGTTTAACTAACCCTAATATTCTGATATTCAGTCCTCTGGTATTATGCCACTATCAAATTTCACGTTGAATAATTCTACATACAGCGGCAGAAAGCTTGAAATAGTTGTTTTCATATACTCATTCAAAACATAATCACCCCCTGGTGTTTTATTGGTTTTTAACTTCTTTACTGCATTCTATATTCCTTCACATGTGATAGACTGATTATGAATACTATCTTTACTTAAGTCTACATCAATATCTATGTCATTATCTTGGACAATACCTTCCTTTGCTTTCTTTATTACGTATAGGTACAGTGGGATTCTATTACAGATAGTCAAGATATAGGTACAGTGGGATTCTATTATAGATAGTCATGATACAGGTACAGTGGAATTCTATTACAGGTAGTCATGATATAGGAAGAGTGGGATTCTATTACAGGTAGTCATGATATAGGTACAGTGGGATTCTATTACAGATAGTCAAGATATAGGTACAGTGGGATTCTATTATAGATAGTCATGATATAGGTACAGTGGGATTCTATTACAGGTAGTCAAGATAAAACTACAAAGGGATTGTTTTACAGATTGTCATGATATAGGTACAGTAGGATTCTATTATAGATAGTCATGATATAGATACAGTGGGATTCTATAACAGATAGTCAAGATATATGTACAGTGGGATTCTATAACAGATAGTCAAGATATAGGTACAGTGGGATTCTATTACAGATGGTCAAGATATAGGTACAGTGGGAATCTATTATAGATAGTCATGATATTGGTACAGTGGGATTCTATTACAGATAGTCATGATATAGGTACAGTGGGATTCTATTACTAATTGTCATGATAGAAGTACAGTGGGATTCTATTACAGATAGTCACGATATAGGTACAGTGAAATTCTATTACAGATAGTCATGATATAGGTACAGTGGGATTCTATTACAGATTGTCATGATAGGTACAGTGGGATTCTATTACAGGTAGTCATGATACAGGTACAGTGGGATTCTATTACAGATAGTCATGATACAGGTACAGTTGGATTTTATTACAGGTAGTCATGAGAAAGGTATAGTGGGTTTCTATTACAGGCAGTCATGATACAGGTACATTGGGATTCTATTACAGATTATCATGATATAGGTACTAGTGGGATTCTATTACAGGTAGTCATGATATAGGTACAGTGGGATTCTATTACAGATAGTTAAGATAAAGGTACAATGGGATTCTATTACTAATTGTCATGATGGAAGTACACTGGGATTCTATTACAGATAGTCATGATATAGGTACAGTGGGATTCTATTACAGATAGTCCTGATATAGGTGCAATGGGATTCTATTACAGGTAGTCATGATATAGGTACATCGGGATTCTATTACAGATAGTCATGATATTGGTACATTGGGATTCTATTACAGATAGTCATGATATAAGTCCAGTGGGATTCTATTACTAATTGTCATGATAGAAGTACAGTGGGATTCTATTACAGATAGTCATGATATTGGTACAGTGGGATTCTATTACAGATAGTCATGATATAAGTCCAGTGGGATTCTATTACTAATTGTCATGATAGAAGTACAGTGGGATTCTATTACAGATAGTCATGATATAGGTACAGTGGGATTCTTTTACTAATTGTCATGATAGAGGTACAATGGGATTCTATTACAGATGGTCATGATATAGGTACTGTGGGATTCTATTGCAGGTAGTCATGATATAGGTACAATGGGATTCTGTTACAGATTGTCATGATATAGATCCAGTGGTATTCCATTACTAATTGTCATGATAGAAGTACAGTGGGATTCTATTACAGATAGTCATGATATAGGTACAGTGGGTTTCTATTACAGATGGTCATGATATAGGTACAGTGGGATTCTATTGCAGGTAGTCATGATATAGGTACAATGTGATTCTGTTACAGATTGTCATGATATAGATTCAGTGAGATTCTATTACTAATTGTCATGATAGAGGTACAATGGGATTCTATTACAGATAGTCATGATATAGGTACAGTGGGTTTCTATTACAGATGGTCATGATAGAAGTACAGTGGGATTCTATTACAGATAGTCATGATATAGGTACAGTGGGTTTCTATTACAGATGGTCATGATATAGGTACAGTGGGATTCTATTGCAGGTAGTCATGATATAGGTACAATGGGATTCTGTTACAGATTGTCATGATATAGATTCAGTGAGATTCTATTACTAATTGTCATGATAGAGGTACAATGGGATTCTATTACAGATAGTCATGATATAGGTACAGTGGGATTCTATTGCAGGTAGTCATGATATAGTGTCGCAGGCGGGCCGATAGGTCGCCACACAAAAAGGAATATAACGACTAAGTTCTTTAAATATATCACATTTGTTTGGTTTAATACAAATTAAAAAGTTCTGGATCGGAATGTTGTTCGGGTGGAATGGCTTCCTAGCCCAATTTGGGATCTCAGAAGAGATGTAAAGTCTGGTCAAATACTTTGTAGAATACTACTGTGATACTTATACTCGAGCAAGTGAAGAACGTTTGCTCTACTCAATTGCTACACCCAAACTGACCACTTAATAGCACGGGATTTAAAACCCGCCAAGTAAATTTTACTGAACCGATAAAATATTATGGAACACAATTATGGCATTTAAATAAGTTATTTACATAGCGAAAAGGTGTATGTTAAAATATTACGGAACAATGTTTGGACGTTGATTGTGACATATAGGTACAGTGGGATTCTATTACAGATAGTTATGATATAGGTACAAGGGGATTCTGTTACAGATTGTCATGATATAGGTACAATGGGATTCTATAGCAGATTGTCATGATATAGGTACAATGGGATTCTGTTACAGTCATGATATAGGTACAATGGGATTCTGTTACAGATTGTCATGATATATAGGTACAGTGTGTTGGTGTGGTTACCTGCAAACAGTCTTGGTCTGTCATGCCTGTTCAAAGCTGAGGACATGCGTTTAACCGGTGCAAAGCCGATTGATGTACACCAAATGCAGTTGCAACTTCCTGTTACATAGCTCCGGCTAGTGTATCATCGTTAGCCGGGTTGTGTAGGTCTTTTTTAGAGATGTGGTATTGCAGCATCAACATTGAAATCAAATCTTAAATATGGGTTTAATAAGACTTTATCGTTTTTCTAAATCCAAAATATCAATGAAAATAGACCTTTGACTTAGTACAAGAAATCATGTAAAACCCTATTTTCATAAACAGGATTTAATCAAGGGAAATAATTCAAAACTTGGGTTTTTAAAGCCCATGTTGTCCTTTAAATAGGTCAAAGGTATCCAATGATAAAAAGCATAGTTGCTCCATATACTTCCATATGCGTTAACTTTCTTTATTTGTTGAGCATAGAATCATCAGTTGCCATAAATAACTATTGGTGCCACCCTTTTTAGTAGCCTTTTGACTAGAAATATACTGTGAAATCACTTTTTTTTATTGGGGAATTAATTTTCATTGTTTTTAAAGTATGGAGAGACCACAATGAAATGTATGATTTTAAACCTGGAAAACTTGACCCCTACCCATTATACATACATCAACTTGACTCGCTACATTTCATCGCTTTATTTCAAGGAAAACAAGAAAACCTGTCACAAAAATATAAAACATTTGATGCATGAAAGACATTGAACGCGCATATATATACCACCTGACACACATTTTAAAGATTTGCAAAAAGATGGACAATTTAACTGGGGGAAGGGGAGCAGATTTTAAAAAAAACAACATGTCGTAAACATACACATGTATATTTTCAATCAAAAATGGCATACAATAAAACTGTGAAATATTTGTCATTGTAAGTGTTGTACAAATTGTACAGAATTTGAATGCTAAATTTGAGAACTAAAAAGCAATCTTTTTTTTTCATCTGTACTATCACAGTTTTGACAAATTCGAATGTGTTTGTATCCTATGAAATTTGTTGTGTGAGGTTAACATTTAACAATTTCCTTTTATATAAATTTTTTTTCAGCCCATCAAAAGTGCAAAACACACAAAAAATAAATGTACAATTTAATGAAGGGAATATTCCATTTAAACTTAAAGCAATATGGGCTGCATGTATGACATCGGAAAATTTTGTTGAAAATTTGTCATTAACTATTTCAATGAAAGAAAAATAAAACATTTATAAACTTCTTTTGTTCATATTTGCAATGGAAAATTTTTTTAAAGCTTTGATTGAAGAAAAATTGAATTATTGTCGTCCTGTACAATAATGATTTCTTATACATGTATAATACTGTATATTATGTCGTACAGAAATATTTCATCTGAAACATTTTTAAAACTTATTTTGGGTTTATTGGTCATAAGAGTTTAAATTACATACAAATTAATCATAATAGCATATTTTACCTGCAAAATAAAATTCTCAAAAATGCAGCTCATATTGCTTTAATTAGTTTTAATAATCATATGTGTCCAAGATCTTTTTCAAGAGGTATTAAAAAAGATCAAAATCTTAAACGATTTTTTTTCTATTTGAGCCTAAAGATAAATCAAGATGATGTGCATCACAGTATCAATTCAGTGTTCTCCATATGCTTATCTCATAACATAAGAAAGCCTAATATGTACATTAAAATGGAGTCAGTTAATATGGACTAGATAACACTGTTGTGAGAGTAAAACTGCCCCAAATATTGCCTTTTTGACTTTTTTTTTATAATCGTTAAAATGCAAAATGTAATAATGCAAAAATATAATTTATAATATCAGTATATTACCTTTGTAATGCTAAAACAATTTGTATTGTAACATACTAAAAAACAGCTTTTAATCGTGACGACTTTTCACCAGGGTGAAACTAGTTCGCCACAATAAATTTTTGCGATCAAAGCCTTTTTGGATGTGTTGTTAAAAGAGAGAGACTTTAAGGACTGCTTTATAGGAATATTCCAGATGACGAGACTCCTGAACCTCGCGAAAAATTCTCGCACACGAAAAAAAGTTGGTTTACAGTACCATTCTTCCAAACTTCCTATCACTCAGTAAGGATACACTACCCTTACATTGTGTATAAAGCAACAGCATAAGAACAATGTCCGTTTAAAGCAGTACTGGGAGTCCTCTATGACAACAATGTCAACAACTTCTCCAAATCTTCCCAGAATTCCACTTTTCCAACCTTCCAACCTTCCCAGAATTCCCAGGCTCTCAATCGCTCTCACTATCGTCGTCACTCAATTCCAGATCTTTACCTGTATATAAAGCAATAAAATTAAATCATGTACAGCAAAACTCGTTTAGTACGAACACGGATATTGCGAATTTACGGTTATAACGAAGTCATCTTGAATCCCCAGCTGTATAAATTTTATGACTTTCTTACACGGTTATAACAAATTACGGTTATAGCGAAGTAATTTCATAAGTCCCTGTGACTTCGTTATAACCGAGTTTTACTGTATATGCTCAAAAACAAAGGAAGCAAATTAAGTGGGGGGCACAATTAAACATTTTCAATTATAGGCACTATCAATTACCAAAAATTCCTTGAAAAGCAAAATCAAAGGTCATCAGATGCTATTATTGATGGGACACAAGCATGAAATAGCTATGTTTTCAAGGTATTCCAAATATCATCAAAATTATTAGGGGAGGAGCTGTGCCCCCCCCCCCCCCCTCAGTTCCTATGGCCATGACGCTCACCAAATTCTCTACCAAGACTGTAACTCTATAGGCTACTTGAAATGGTCTAAAATACTAGAATAAGGTTTACTTAAATTTAAAATATTTCATATATTATATAATATATTTCATATATTATACAAGGGTTGATCCAAAAGTAATGTCACAACTTCTATAAAAGAGCTTCTAGTCAACGTAAATCAATGAAATTATACATGATTGAGGCTATATTTATTATAGATCTGTCCTGAAAAATTCAAATTAAAATGATTAATACTTTTCAAAATATCGAATTATATACAATTATATACAAAGTGCAATAAAAATTATTACGGTAGTTGCTGCATCTAAATAACGTCATGACAGATACGCGCCGTCATACACTTGAACGCTTCCTCTCATTCCATTAAAAATATTTGAGATTCACTAACACATTCACATATAATTCTCTTTTTAAAGGAATTATTGGCACCCATTGTACTCTCACTCTATATATAAATTAGTCCTCTGTCAAAATTCTTTTAACAGTACCATAAGACAAACTTAAAATTTCTCATATCGCTGTATCTTCCTAACCGTCTCTCTTTTTGGACAACGTCAAACACCACTGATTGTATCCGCCTGACATCCCTTTTTTGGTCCCTCTGTCCTCTGCCGATCATTCAATGATCCATGACCCGCTAAAAATTGCTGAAAACATCCATAAACAAGTTTCTATTTACATTCCCTCTTCTGTATGTCTGATTTATCATCGTAACTGTTTCTACGGGCAATTTCCTCATTTTGAAGCAAAAATGCATCACAGCTCATTTCAGCAGTTATTCTCCATTTCCTCTGTTCAACACAGCAGATTCAAATAACAATGTTTATGATCAAAAAGCAAAGACGTCATTTTATTTTCAACTTAAGACTAGAAAATGTCGAAAAATGTTGTATTTCAAAATATTGGGCAATTAGACGCTTTTTAGATGCTTTTTAATGTGTTTAATATCTTTTCTCATTCTAACAATATACACTTTGAAACATGACGTTTAGTTGTGACGCGGCGACACCCCCTATGTTTAATATTTTGAAAGTTTATAAAATCAATTTAATTAAATATTATTTAATGAAAATTTCCAGTTTGATTAGATTTATTTTTATGCATCTTTTGGTATATAATATTTGATAATGTGACGCCAAATATTAAAAAGATATTGACACAGTGACATTACTTTTGGATCAACCCTCGTAAAAGACTTTTGCGAAGTAAGACCACTTAAACATTTGAAACAGAAGGACACAAGCCCATTTTAATAACTACCAAGATTTAAAAACTTTTTTAATGCTGATTTTTCCTATAGAAAAAATTGTTTCTCTCCTGTAGCACCAGCAACAATGAAGACTAGGAATAGACACAAAATTTCAGTCTTTTGACAAATCCCGGGTCAGAGTTTGAAGTCAAGGACCTGGTAAAATTGGAAACAGGCATGTGGAAACTGCACACTTATAAGCCCAAAGGGTGTGTAAATATTCTGAGGCATAAGCCTCCTTATTATCACCAAATTTGAAATAAAATTTTAATGTTAGTTTATTTTACTTCAATTTCCATGGAACTCTTTTGCAAAGGAGACACAAAAAGTATAAAAATTGAAAATGACTTCCAAGGAACAGGTTGAAAACAATAGCGAGACAATAAATTGATAGAAATGGATTTCAGTCTTTCTCAGATCATTTCCTTGGCATGGAATGGCAAATAAGAATAAAATTACTTGATAAAGATTTTGCAAAGATTGAGTTTTGGTGAATGGTGAAAATGCAGCACAACCATGCATTACATACACTGAGTTCAACAATACCCAGAATGTTGAAGTTATGCATTTCACTTTAAGGATTATTTTTTAAGGAGGGGACGTAGTGTGTGTGTGGGGGGGGGGGGGGGGGTGTTAACAGGTGTTAAATACTTACCGGTACACATGATATCAGAGGTGAGTTGTTTAAGACTTACCCAGGATGTTGGAGGAAGGAGGGGCTGACTGATAGAGAGGCTGGGATCTAAACAGACCCTGTCCTGATTTATCTGTAACAAAATAAATCTAAGAATAACTATTACATCACACAGGTAACAGGAGGGGCTGACTGATAGAGAGGCTGGGATCTAAACAGACCCTGTCCTGATTTATCTGTAACAAAATAAATCTAAGAATAACTATTACATCACACAGGTAACAGGAGGGGCTGACTAATAGAGAGGCTGGGATCTAAACAGACCCTGTCCTGATTTCCCTGTAATGAAATAAAACTAAAAATAACTTTTACATCATACAGGTAACCCCCAACAAACCCTGCCCTGATTTCTCTGTAATGAAATAAAACCTCCACATCAGAAAACAGTCTAAAAATATCTATTCCATCATACAGGTACCCCCCCCCCCCCAAAAAAAAACTCTGTGTTTTCCCCTTTTGGTTTTTTTTTTCATTTTTTTTCTTTAGATACTGAAAGATATGTTTTTTATTTGAAGGTGGACACTTGACATAGATAAAAAAACCTTGAAGAGGTACATGATGAGACACAGGTGATCTGTAATCAATTAAGAAATCTGCTTGGATTGATATATTGTGTGACAAAGTGTAAAGGTACTCACCATTGTTTGTTTTGGACTCGTCTTCTGAGTCACTAGCTGAGTTATCCGAGTCGCTGGATGAGTCACTACTGCTGCTGATAAATCCAATCCAACCTAAACAGAAAACATACTACTATAATACTGTACAGTAAAATATTTATATTTGCAAATGTTTGCCCTTATATAACACTATTTAAACAAGGCAATTTTACATCTCAGTAAAAAATGTTTGTCATATGTGCCCATAAATTGATTGTTTGGTCATAAGTAGGACTGGAGTGGGACGATCCACCGGTGCACCGATGCATCGCAGTATTCACTTTGACGATCTACGGATCGATTCATATGAATAAGTATCACGATACCTTACCGCTTTTTTTTTAATTTGTAAAAATTTCCGGGCTTAAGATTTCGAAATTTTTAGTCTTTTAGTCTGTATCATCACGACGTTTAAACAAACACAAATAAAGTACAAACGTCTTGTTGATACAGAATTCTAAATATAAGCGTTAAAATGGCGTCCGACACGCCAGATTACATCAAATAAACGAAACCAATTGGCAGTAAATCGGGTGTCTGGGATGTATATTAAAAAGACGGGGCAGGAACAACAGTCAATTTGAGTCAAGAAACTCTAATTCCCAGATCATTTGTTAAATTAGTTTATTTGCACAGTCACACTGTTTTGTTCAAAATTAAATGTTCTAAAAAATTATCTAGTTTTATTTGGTTTTAAATGTATCATGATATGTATCGTATCGCACCTAAGGTATCGTGATATGTGTCGGATCAGCTAAGTTCAGTATCGTCCCAGCCCTAGTCATAAGCGATCTATGTAATTTCACTGTCATAAATGATCGATGTGTTAATGCATTCTAATTATACCCCTGAGTTTTGAAAAAATGTAAATCTCTTATGGATTTTTATGAAAATCTTCAGTGCCTTACTATTTTTAATAAATCAGTCACAAATATAAATCTAAGTAATAAGGTATCATTTTTTGAGTTTTATGAGATTTGATCATGTGACCAACCTGTTTTAAATAAAATTCAAATTTCTTAAGTAAAACCTTGTAATATTTGATGAGAACAAGTCTGTCTTACTCTGTTCCGGTTTCTGGGAGTCCTCCATTTTAGGGTCATCGTGTACGGGGGTGACGGTCGGGGACTCTACCTGGGGGGTCGGGGGGCTGACGCTGACTGAAGACGAGGCCACGGCTTTCTGTTTGACTGGGGATCTCTTGTTGACATCCACAGGGGTCAAAGGTCGGCTGCTCTGGGATATTTTACTACTGCCCTCCATTCTGTTAAAACATAATATTATAAATGCAATACTGTAGATTCTTTATTTTTTGCAAGTACTTATTGCCGTGAATGGGCTCTTCAACGGCAAATCGCGAGAATTATAATTCGCGAATGGCCAACTGATCAAGAGATCTTACATAAATGTCATCACTAAAAAAATACAATCAAGAAATTTTATTTCGCATGTGGTGCTTCTTGCGAAATTACCTGATAATTAATTTCACATGTATATTAGGAATCTACAGTTTAATTTTTAATTTTTTTAAATATTGTATTAAAGTGACAAGAAATAAAGGCATTTTCCTATCCCTCTGTACTTGAAAATTACAAACTGAACTTATTGAAAGAGATAAAATCAAAATAGTCAATTTACTTTATTTCTCCATCAATGTACTGGTTCATCATAGGTGCAGTTAAAAAAAAATCATGTGCAGGGCGGTCAAATAGCTAGACAGAAGCAAGGCTTGTAGCTCGTGGATTGGAGGAATCAAGAACATGTAAATATAAGGAATAACTGTCAGATTTTTCCATTTCATGACAATGATTAATCGATTGGCTTGCGTGATAATTTTATGCCTTTGGCATTTATGCTAATTATCAAGCAGGCCAGTGGATTGATAACATCATGAAATCGAAAATAAGACAGTTATTCCTAAATGATTTTAGACAAACCTGGTCTTTTTTAAGTTGACAGTGTTGGAGAGTCGCTCCAGAGTGAATGCCCCTGTCTGATGGTCTATAATTAGAACGCATTCTTTAGGACTCGGCCGCTTGTTGCCTTTGTACATGGTGTGTGATGTACCAGAACCCTACAATGAGGTGATCAATTGTCCAAGTTTCATATATATCAATTAGAAATGCTGATATGATACATATGTATGTTGAACAGTGATATCTAGGATACTGATATCTCTTAATTTGATGCATAAAAGACTGATCTTAAAGACTGAAAAACTCAAATACTGATATCTTAAATATTAATAATATCTGAGAGACTGATTTCACAAATGTCTGGAAAAAAGTTCTTACTTTTACTAAAAGTCAGCCTACATACATAGTTTTATCTAAATTAGTAAAATGTTTTAAATATAGAAGTGTCATCTTTACCTCGACTTATAGTCTATTTTATCCTGAAACTACCCCTTGCATTGACCAAATATTAAAGGTAACCTTATAAACCAAAGCTTTATCCAGTCACTGCCCTAAAAAAGCCTTGTGCATTGTGACGTCATGTTCATTGCAATGTTTACGCCATGGCGTCATAGTTTCAACTGAACAGATGTGCCTATATCATTCGGAAAAAGCTTGTTTTGGATGTTCAAATATAAAATTTTGTTGCAGGATAAACAAAATACATGATAACTATCTTGAAATATTAGCAATATTTGGGCTCAGGTTGAAAACGTAAAAGTGCTCGGCAAGCCTCACCCTCTATCACATTTTCTTACCCTCACCCAAATATCGCTTATATTTCAAGACAGTAACCATGTATTTTATATATATATATATAGAACTGATATGTTTATCTTGATGTACAGTCTATATATGGAAGTGGCATTTTTATCTTGACGTAGTGTATATATAATATAAAAGTAACATATTTATATTGATTTAGTCTATATATAGAAGTGTCATCTTTACCTAAACGTAGTCTAAATATAGAAGTGACATCTTTACCTCGACGTAGTCTATATTTAGAAGTGTCATCTTTACCTCGACATAGTTTATATTTAGAAGTGTCATGTTTACCTCGACATGGGGCAGTCCCACTGTCACCTGGTGCCCCTCCCCTACATCCACCAGTCCTTGTTGTGACGTGTCAACTGATGCTGGCATGAAATCATCTGAAAAACACGTAATAAATCAGTTTAAAATGTATTAACCGACACTGACATGAAATCATCTGAAAAACACCCAATAAATCCCTTTAAAATGTATTGACCGACACTGACATGAAATCATCTGAAAAACACGTAATAAATCAGTTAAAATGTATCAACCGACACTGGCATGAAATCGTCTGAAAAACACGTAATAAATCACTTAAAATGTATTGACCGATGATGGCATGAAACGTTGCTCCCCCGGTCCCACCCCACCCTTGAATGTTGTGCAAAACTTACACAAGTGTGGATAACTCCTGAAAAAGACTTTGGTAGAATTTTTAATCTTCAATCTACTCAAATCTGTTCAGCCTACCACCACAAGAGTTGAGAGTTTTAGTGTTTTCCCTAAGAACCGACTACCAGCCAAATTTACCGCTTCAATTGACAAAATTGCCACTTTGAAATAACAATTTGTTGTAAGGTCCACAAGAATTTGTTCATAAACCTCATACCCTACACTTTTACAACTGATCTTTAACCCTTTACTTTAAAATAAACAGTTCCAGCACAATATCCCAATAAAGGTTATATAGCTTTATAAAACTTTAAAGCTTTATCAAAGTATTTAGAATACCTTGATCAAGGTATTCTATGTAATGAAAATTCAAAAAAATTCTTTAAAAATTAAATACTGAAAGTCGAGTTCTGAGTTTTTGTCAGTGTGTCTATTCCTGCATGAAAAATACTCTGGTATCAAAAAGAAAGCATAAAATAACTTCTCCTCACTCGAGACATTTTTATACTGATTTGTTTGTGTTTAAGTATTTTACATGCATGTGTGAATTTACTGACAACAACTCAGAACTCGACTTTAAGTATTTAGTTTTTAAAGAATTTTTTTGAATTTTCATCACATAAAATTCCTTGATCAAGGAATTTTAAATACCTTCAGTTGATAAAGCTTTATCAACATGATCAAGCTATTTAAGAAATAAGGTATAATTTTTTAAACATCTATCGGGATATAAATACGGGTTGGTCACAAGATTAAATTCCATAAAGCCCGGGCATTATGGAATTTAATCTCGTGACCAACCAGTATTTATAGCCCTATAGATGTTTTAAAATGAGACCTTATTACTTATATTTACATTTGGGACTTATTCATACTTTATATTTTTCTGATTATGACTTTTAACGTGTGAAATGCATTATTTTTCAAACTCAACGGCAAGCATTGTAATCCACTGATCGCGCGTCGACCCTTTATGACGTCACTGAGAAATTACGTCAAACGATTATCCAAACGCACATCTATGACCTCTTGAACCCATACCTGTATTAATACAGTTATAGATACGCATTCCTTTAAGTAGTTTTATATGAAGGAAAACATTTGCAAATGTAAATATTTAAGAAATAAACAACGTTATTCAGTGAACATGGCGTTATGAATAGCAATTGCTCTGCTGGCATATTCCATGATGCGCGCTAGCGCATCATGGAAAATATGCCAGCAGAGCTATTGCTATTCATAATGCCATGTTCACTGAATAATCGTTGTTTATTACTTATATTTGCATTCTTTGAGTTTTTCAAGAATATCAGAGGAAATCCTGACTTACAGTAACTTACATAAGGACGCAGCTTCTTGTCTTTAGTAATGAAAAACATACGGCTTTAAAATCACTACACCTGATCAATGATCCTTTTCTCTAATAAATCACAAACAATTTATAAAGTATTTCCCTCTCAAACACAGTTATCTGGATACATGCAGCGCCGTCATCACATTCTCTTAATTTTTGTTTTGATGCAGTTGTGACGTCATCGATCAACGTTATTGAAACCCTCTGACAAAAATCAATAATTTAAATCTATGATGAAAAATAAGAATGCTTTGATAATGATTATTACTCCAGAATGCTTTTCTATGATTTTTTTTTTTAGTTTTTCTATTTATTATTAATAGCTGAAATCATTCTTGAAGTAGATATACTAGTTAAATTTTCTCTTTCTGAATGTTATTACCCAAGTGTGAAGAGTTATCGTTCTTTGTACAAATATGCATGATACGAAAAAATATAAATATAGCCGTTCTTTAAATTTTTAAAAAGTTTCATTATACAATTAAATACATTGACCAAAATTAAATTTTTAAAGATATGAATCAGCAATTTTAAATATTCTGAATTTCCTTTTTTACAAAGTATATTATTAAAAACTTATTTTTATTCCTCTCATGAAACATTTCATATATATACTTCTCAACACGGTTCATAAGTGTAGTAAAGATTGTTCTACACGAGTGTGATAGAGCAATTGCACTCATAGCAGAAGCAGTTGCGTCTATAGTGCTATGGATGCAGTTGAAGCCTGCAGGTTCATAGTGGGAGAGAGCTGTGGATTATTAATTACACAGTCAGTTAGTGACCTACTACGGAATCATACAGGGTCTGAAATGGAAATCCGTATTGGGCGAGGCGAAGCCGAGTCCCAATACGGATTTCCATTTCACACCCTGTATGATTCCGTATTAGGTCACTAACTGACTGTGTAACGAATTTATCCCGCTGAAGACCTAACGTTAATTCTGAAATATTTAAAAAAAAAATATATGTGCATATTATGAAAATATCACGTTTTAATCCAATAACAATCAACATAAAATACCGTAACAAGAAATTTAAGTAATCAAACTACCTACGATAACCGTTTCTTAGCCGCCATTTTTATTTACAATAACAACGCTTCGAACGGAATAGCGTGCCCGATTTTCATATTACGCCTTGACGGAGACGTAATATGGAAACGGAGACGTAATACGGAAAATTTCAGGGCGTCATGTGATCAGCTTTTATCCAATCAGCAATCGACAAATTTGTCTGAAGCGGGATAAATGCTAATATATAGCTTTATCGAGGTATTGTGCTGGACCTGATAAAATGAAAACACTGAGTTTTAGCAATAAACCAATGTAAACATAAACATTTCGCTCACGAAACTCAAAGGTTATGTCTTCATTGGTTTATTGATAAAACTGCCGACTCCTGTGCTACTACATACGTAAATTTTATCTCACATTTTCAAAGTTCTTACAAAAATATAGTATCTCAGCATTAACAGATACTGAGATAGATACTCACAGCGGAAAGAGTGGAAGGCAACTCGAGATTTAGGATCAAAACTTGAACCTAACTTAAGTTCATGGACTTTGCTATCGACTGGAAGTATCTTCTCTGTCATTTCAAAGATAAAAAACTGTCCACTGTGTAGATAAAATTGAAATAAACACGAAAACAGACCAACATCTGCTACATTTCGATCAAGCTTCACAATTTTTCAATACTGTTCGGTATATTTGGAATACCGCGCCCGATCAAATTTTACCAAATTTGTGGGTTTGTCCCGAAATAATTATTCTCTTTTAATATAGTTACCCCTACTAAAAAAAATAGACAAGGGAGGGGGTCTAAAAATAGGAAATTCGCTACCATAAATTTTTACCAGACTTTCTATCTAGTTTCTGGGTAGCTTGCGCTGTCAACCAAATATTTTTATAGTACGGGTAGCTATATATTAAAAGAAGATAAATTATTCGTGACAAGCTATGGAATGCCATGTATATGGAATGCCATATACGACAGCCAACTCCTTACTGCCAACTGCTGACTTCTTACTGCCAACTGTCAGCTGCTTACTGTTAACTGCCACATATATTTGAATAAATTTGATTTTTATATTGATATTTATGTGAATTTTCAAAAAAAAAAAAAAAAAAAAAAAAAAAAAGGCGCGGATCTAGAACATTTCTTCCAAGAGGGTCACTCATGTTAAAAAAATCTAACCCAGAAATTTCTTGACAACAACAAACAAAAAAAAAAAAAAAAAAAAAAACGTAAAATCCTTTCTTTAATGTGATATTTATTTCGGCCGGGGAGAGGGTGTTCTCATGCGTCATACCTTCATGTCTATGAAATTTTTTATACAACTAAACACGAAACAGCGTTTTCGGGGGGGGGGGGGGGGGGGTCTAAGGTCCCGTTTATTTGATTTATTGTACACATTGAATAACTTTTAGTTGGTTTAGTTTGTGCATTTAATAACTTTACAAATTGCAGATGGGTGGTCCGGACCTCTCTATCTAGATCTATGCATGTAAAACATATCTTATTTGTAAAAACGAAGAGATATAAATGGTTGATCGGCGTTTTGTATGTGGAGGGTCCAAGATCAGTTTTAGTTCGTTCAGTTTATACAATAACCCATGACTGTACAAATCCCCCCCCCTTAACCCCACCCCATCCCCAAGATATTTGCATGTGAAAAATTAAAACTCACAGATCGAGATATACATCTTTTATTTGAAGAAAATTTTAAACTATAAAATATGATAGAAAATATTAATTTATTTTCAAAACATCTTTATCTGCGAAACGACAAATAACTTTTTTTTTATTTTTCTCTCTTTAAAGGTTTGGTTGTCTCCGGGGGGTCGGGTGGGGTGGGGGGTGTTACTTCTTCTAAGATTAAAAGCAGAAAATAGTCATTTCATTACCTATAGCTATTTCAAATAAGAAAATGAAAATAAACAATGCACTTTATCAATAGCATACACTGTATATTGAATATCACAACATAATGGTCATATAGTCAATTTAATTTTACCAGGGTGACTTTTGGGGAAAAAAATGTCCTGGATCCGCGCCTGTTTTTTTTTTTTTTTTTTTTTTTTTTGAAAATTCATATAAATATTAATGCAAATATAAAATTTATTCAAATGTTTGTGGCAGCTGGAAGTAAGCAGCTGACAGTTGGCAGTAAGCATGCAGTCAGCAGTTGGCAGTAAGCAGGTGGCTGCCGTATATGGCATTCCATAGGATATATCAAATAAATATCAACATGATCAATATAAATATGAAAATTCATTCAAACATGTGTTGCATTTAGCAGTAATCAGCTGACAGTTGGCAGTAAGCAGTGTGCAGTTGACAGTATGCAGTTGGCTGTCGTACATGGAATGTATAGTTAAAAAAAATATGTATTATATCAGCAAAAGAATACTACTAAGCAGCGCTGTAACAATGCAGTTTTCTGTTGTTGATACTTGAATACATTGTAATGTACATGTATATGATCTTGTGACTTCACTAGATGCACGGACTACCCTCATTTCTCTCTGTTGATTGTCTGTGTAAATTGTGTGATTTCCTGTTACGTTCACAGTTGTACAGAACAATGGATTCGAGTTAGAGTCTTATCAATGCAACAAAATGATAAAATGACACTAGTAAAAACAAAAAAAAAAAAAAAAAAACAATGAGCGGGGGGTGAGGGTGGGGCGAACCCTCCCCCTGGATCCGCCACCGTTCACTGGAAGGCTGGTTGGCCCTCCCAACTTAATTTTTTGTGATATAAGTAAAATTTAGCATAAGAAATTGGTAATGAAAAAAGTTGGCATTGAAAGAAGTTGGCTTCTACATCCTCTCCCCCTTGTCAACTTTTTCAGTTAATTTTTTTCTCTGGCTGCCCCCCCCCCCACCCCATTCCCACCCCCTATATCAAAAACGATGCTACGTGGCTGCGCTTGTCCGAAATGTATTACGCAGACGCCATGCCAATCCCCAGGCCACCTTTTCACAAACTTTGAAATAATGTACGTGGCAATTATAAGACCTCTTATCTCTGTATAGAGTATGGAGTTTAACTTTGTTGAATGTAATAGTATTACCTAAAATAAACGATATCTAAAGAAGGAAATTTTAAATAGAATATTTTTGAATTTAGGAAGATGCATAAAACATCCAGTGATGTCCGTTCATTCGAAATTGTTTTTACCACCTCCGAATGAAAGATGTACCGCGAGATTCGACCGATGTAATACATGTTGGTTATTCTATGAAACACATGGAGGAAGGAACAAAAAAAATCAAGATCAAACGTCCACTAAACAATACAAAACAGAAGCAGTTGAGCCAACACGGACCACCAAAACATCAGAGGTGGGATCAGGTATAACATATTGCACAATTTTAAGCGATCCAAAGGCCTGTGGTCTCAACCGCTTAACTATGACGTCACGAGCTAGGTGTAAGTGGAGCTAGTCGGAAGAGGTGGAGCTAGTCTGCTAGTCGGAATTTACGGAGACAGCCGAGCGTCTGGTTGAACGAGACTAACATTTTACTTGTTTTAGTATATACATTTTTTACCCTGGTAAATTCCAGGAGGAGGGGGGGTCCTGACCCCACGGCCCCCCCCCCCCTCTAGATCCGCGCATGACAAATACATTTCCAGTACTAAGCGTAAAATACATATCGGGATCGAAATGCAAAAAATATTGTATACGACATTCCAAAGATCAAGTCCAAGACGCAGACGTCGAAAAGGGTGAAACGAGTTTATTATAAGTCACTGTAGAAAGTCATATTCTTGGGAGGAACACGTGTGAAATAATTGGTAATCAAAGTAAGGTCATATCTCCTTGACATAACCTGAGTTTTGGTTTGTTTACGATAGATTGTGTGTAAGTTGTTAACAAGGAAGTAAATAATCCATAGGGTTTGACTTCCGCATTGTTAAGTGTAAAGTAAATTTTTAAAAATTGATTCTTCTTTAAATACACCCAAAAAGTTGTTGAAATAAAGATTCTGACACTTTCAGTTAAGAAAAAACACTTTATAAAAAGACATACTACACTCAGTGAGACGCTATAGCATTATTCAGTGTTATGGGGTTTTCCTTTTATTTCAAAGTAAAGGGTTAAAGGTCAGTTGTAAAAGGCTAGGGTATGAGATTAATGAACAAAATCTCTGTGGACCTTACAACAAATTGTTATTTCAAAGCAGCATTTTTGTCAATTGAAGCGGTCATTTGGTCAGTTGCCGGTTCCTAGGGAAAACACTGTTAGGGACTAAATATTTAGGTCTGGTGTCCCGCGAAATCGCAGATCAATGTCAAACAAAGTGAGTACTGAGTAATCTTTTTTGCCCAGACTTTGACTGCTTGTTTCAATCAATACGGGCTGAAATGAATTAGCTGCCTGCTTCAACTTTTTCCTTTAGACATCCCTTTAAGTCTGTCACTATAAAACTTTCCTTTCTTACCTTTAAAAGGTTTAAATCCAACTAAAATAATTAAAACCTCTGATGTCGCTAAGTTTCTATAGGAAATAGTAGTAGAACAAAGTATTCAAAGCAGACTATTGTGGAACTCTTCAGCACCGAAGGTTTAAATGAATGGGATATTTCTATGAAAAATTAACAACTTTATACTTTGTTGGATTTAAACCTTTTGGGGGGAGGGGGGTCACATCAGAGTTATTCTTGATAATATATATAAAAAATGTCTTTTTAAAAATCTATTAAAAACAGCATGTTTATAAAGAAGCATTCCTGGGTAGTATAAATTGATGCTCGTTTAAATCATGATGCCCCAGGGGTGAGGCAACAACAGTGGATCTAAGTTACACTTAAGAATATAGGAAATACAGTGTACCTTATTTTCTCGAGAACAACAAAGCCATGATTAGTCATATTAATATAGAAGCATCCTCAAGTGGTGTAGATTTCAATATTTGTTCAAATCATGACCCCCAGTGGGTCCATTAAAGCCATGATTAGTTAGTTCACTAGCATATATATCTACATCTACATCCATAACATACCCCAAGAAAGTGTGATTTGAATTAAAGTGTTTCATAAGCTAAATGGTTCACTATATTTATATATAGGTTAATTGTCTCAATTTATTTTGACAGATTCCTCAAAATCCTACTATCCAATTGTCCAGAAGAGGAAAGAATCATCTCCTTACAGGTTTCTTTTAAAAAATCTCTCACAAGGGTACATGTATATTTATTGACCCTTGTCAATTGTAAGCATTAATTTACATTGTTCATGTACTTGTATTTATATATATATATATACTTAAAGTTTTGTGTACATATGTGTATAAACATATCTTTAGAAAACATTATTTGAACTTAAGGATTTAGCGGTGTAATAGGCCACTTCCGGTTAAAATGCCGAGGTGTTTGACATCGGCAGTTCTCGGAACATCTATCTTCGTAAACAAAAATGGCGCGTCGTCAAGACGGCCTAGGACGCTATCATAAAACATACACCAAAGGAACAGATTATAACTAATCAAAGGAAAGAATTGATATGATATTAAATAGAAAACACCATACTATAATTTGGGTTGGCAAAATATGCAGTTAAAACGATGTTATCTTCATATACACATTACAAGGGTTTTTCCAACTTCTAAAAATAGCATCGATTTCGAAAAAACAAACGAAGTAACTTTTCATTGTAATTTTGTGATTCTCTTAGTATCAGCTAACTGTTTGAGAGAATAATGTAT